AAAAAATGTCACCTTACACACAGATTGCGTTTCGCGCAAGAACGTTTGGAGTGGCCTATTGAAAGATGGCGCAACATACTCTGGTCCGACGAGAGTAAAATTGTACTTTTTGGCGGAAGGGGCACGAGGCAGTATGTAAGGCGAAAACCCAATACCGATTATGACCCCCGAAACACATTAAATACCGTCAAACATGGTGGGTCCAGTATCATGATTTGGGGCTGATGTTCTTATTATGGTGTAGGCCCTATATACCGCATAAATAGCATAATGGATAGTCGTGAATATGTTGAAATACTTGATAATGTAATGTTGCCTTATGCCAGAGAAGAGATGCCAATAAAGTGGGTCTACCAGCAAGACAATGACCCGAAACACACCAGCACATTAGCGAAACAGTGGTTTCGGGCGAATAGGGTTGAGGTCATGGATTGGCCAGCGCAATCTCCAGACCTCAATCCTATTGAGAACTTGTGGCGAGATATCAAACAGGCTGTTTGGAGTGCAAAACCGACCAACAACAACGATCTTTGGCACGTAGTTGAACGTGCATGGTATGCCATACCAACTGAGAAATGCAAAAATCTGGTGGATTCGATGCATCGCCGTTGTGGCGCGGTTATAGCTAACAAAGGATTCTCTACTAAATATTAACTAAATCTATGACTTAATGTTTTTTATGTAAATACTTAATATTAATGAATTTTTGAATTTTGTTGATCAAAATCCAATTTAAGTTTGTACATCATATCGTACTGCTATTATTTTGGCTATTTCATGTTCAAATAATTCCAAAATAACTGTAAATAACATTTAAACCCGAATTTATTTGAGTTTTGAGTTTAAGTATTGTATTCTGCAATAAATGAAGTTTATTTAAATAATAAACAATCACAAAAATGTGTCGGAAAAATATTTCTATTTTGCCTCGCATGTTTTAATGTCTAGCACTGCTATTATTTTGACCGCAGTTGTACATACATATTTACAAAATAAATCTTAAAGTACCCACAGTAACTCCTAAACATATAAATGACTAATAAGAAAAATAATAAATAACAGTAATATGAAAAAATATGTCGAGAAATGTCTAATTGTAGCGAAACTCAATAATAACAATTTTAAGCAAAAAATACAACCGACTTCAATGCGCATTTAGGTCGTTCTGGTTACGTAGATCCGACTGTCCTCCCTTTTTTTAAAATGGTTAAAAAAATGAATAGTATTCTACAGAAAAAAATCAAGATACATATTTAAGGATTTTAAGTAAAAATAAATAAAGGAAAACTTGTTCGTGATATCTCGACCAAGGTGTATTCATTATACAAAAATCTGAAGGTAAAACCGCTGAAAGGCAGCCTGAACATTTTTACAGTTTGCTAACATTACAAAAATGTTTTCAAATTTCCAATCTCACAAATAATTTCATTTTCAGTCTCAAATAAATGAAAATTTCAATATTTTCATCTATTTGTTTTTTGTTTTACTTTTATTTGGCATTTGAGTTGCTCTCAAAATTTCAATTTTATAAAATAGACAAACTTCAAAAAATAAATGACGAATTGAGCAAGCGGTTTTACCTTTAAATATTTGTATCATGGGTGTATTAAACTAGGGGCCGTATGCATAAAACCTAGCAAATGCTTTTTCTTAAAATTTCGGACCTTTCACTAAATTTTTTCAAATAAATTTAAGTGAAAGATATGAAAATCTGAGAAAAAAGTAGTTGCTTAGTTTTTATGCATACGGCCCAAGGTGTGGCTCTCTTTTAAGATACTATTATGTAGAAAAATATTAACAAACGATTCAAAATTCATACAAATTTTTTTTCAATTGGACTGTATAGGATGGTTCTTCTGAGAGCATGGTCAAATTCAATCACGCTTTGTTAAATACATTTTGATCTCTACCAAATAATATACTTCCTCTGTAAATATTTTATGAATTGTTCCAAAATTCGCTCCGAGTGCGTTCACTGTTGATCACTTGATTTAAATAGTTTGTCAAACAATTAATACTATAGTTTGATCGGAGTTAATATATTCTTCAGTAATTAATTATATTATATTAAAACATAAGCTTATGAGAAATTATTTAGTTTTAACATGCATATTTTATATCGTGTTCCAAAATTCGCTCCGAGCGCGTTCACTATTGATCTTTTGATTCAAATATTGTTTGTCAAGCATTCAGTAGTGAAGTTTGATCGGAGTTTATATATTATTCATTAATTAATCATATTAAATTGAAATATAAACGTATAATATGGTAGAAAGTTAGAAATTATTTAGTGTTAATATGCATAATTCACTCCGTGTTCCAAAATTCGCTCCGAGTGCGTTCACTATTGACCATTTGATTTAAATAATTGTTTCTCAAGCATTCGGTACTATAGTTTGATCGGAAAATATATATTCTTAAGTAATTGATCACATTTTATTAAAATATAAACGTTTAATAGGGTAGAAATTGGGAAATTACTTAGCTTTAGCATGTATAGTCGCCAGAGACAATTGCAAAAACTGCAACTACTCGTGAAAACTTACAATAAAAGCAATGTAGATGAAGGTAATAAATATTATTAAAATTAGATCCATATATAAAACATTTTACATCATTTATTTGAAGTAAATCGGAATATATTTTTACATATAAGATCCATTTAACTCATAAAGTACATATTTCACTACAAATATTTTTAAGATCATTTCGAATTGCAAAAATAGCGCTAATTATTATATATTGAAGTATAAAACATTTTATTACGTTCATGTTTACTTATAAAGCGCTAACAATATTTCTCTCGCCATTTATCCGATGTTAAAATTTTTCACATTATTTTGCTGCACAGCACCCTGAATGCGGCAAAACAGTTGCTCGCAACCGTCAAGTCCTTTATGGGGACCAAATTAACAGCCACAACAACAAAAACCTTTTCAACTGGTATACTGTGGGTGAACCACGCATGTGGTCCCAGAGCGCTCAGTAAACTATGGCATGTCGATCGCTGCGCTAGGTAGATAAAGAAAAGTGTGTGCTATGACATGCCCAGACTTGTTTGCCTCAGTTTCAGTTTTGCTATCACCGCGAGTTGTTTTGGTGCGCGCATAGTTATTTAAAAATATAAAGTTTGATGCCAACCGGGGTTTTTCAGTGGATATATAATTCATGTGAATTATAATTTGAAAGTGTCTATTTAGCCAAGGAAAAAGCAAAACAGTATACTTCCAGCAGATATTGGCCAGGGTTTTCGCACTGTTCCTGTTTCATCGTTGTTTTTAGGAAATTCTTACCACCATATACATATGTATTATTTACTTTAGTAACTAACTTATGCAAATATGTACGTATTTTTATGCTTATTATATGCAAATAAAAGAAGAAAGTAAACACAACAAACATCGAGTAAATTTTTATTTGTGTCAAACTAAAACTTTTTCCAATAATAAACGTTAAGCTGGCTCAAGTCTACAGCAAATTCACAAAATTAATTGAAAACTTGTATCAATCAAAGCATTGTTTATATTTGCTCAACAATGATTTTATTCAACTAACAATGGCCCCTATTATGAGTTACATTCGATCTTCGACTGTGGTCGAAAGTGCTGATCGAACGAATTTTGATTTGGTATTTGGCGCTCATTCGATGAAGAATAGCGCAATTGTGAACTTCGCTAAAATACTTGACGACAGCATCGCTGAATTGAAATCTAAGGACATATGTATCAAATACATCAATAAGTATGTAGATGATATATTCGCGATCGTAAAAAGAAATGGCGTAGAAGATATTTTAAGTGTTGAATTCCCAACACAATAAAATCAAATTCACCACCGAGTTAGAAGAGGGCAACAAATTACCCTTCTTGGATTTGGAAATTCACCACTCAAATAAGAAAATAATAACAAATTGGTACTCAAAATCAATAGCATCTTCGAGAATGATAAATTACCACTCGAACCATCCATGGGCACAAAAGAAAAATACGGCTACTGACCTGATCAACAAAATCTACTCCTTAAGTGACCAGGAGTTCAGAAAAAGTAACAAACAGAAAATAATAAACATACTGCACAAGAACGGATACCCAAATAAAACTATTGAGATGCTAATAGCAACAACAATTAACAGATTAAAATCAACGCAAACAAACAATAAGTCTACCAGCAGAACTGAAAACAGAAGATTTAGAGGAGTTACATACATACAAGGCCTAACCGACAGCAAAACACTGCACAGAAATATTCAAAACAAGAACATAACATATGCACATAAGCCACATAGCACGCTAAACAAAATATTCACCAAAACAAAAGACAAAATAAACAAACAACAACAACATAATGTGGTCTATCAAATCCAATGTATGTAATGGTAAAGTCAACGAAAACTGTAACAAAGTATACATAGGCACGACTAAACGAGCGCTTGGAGTCAGAATTAGTGAACACCAAGCAGACGCGAAAAATAGGAAGACAACAACAGCACTTGCACAGCACTTGACGAATAGCGAACACATGGCAGATTTTGGGAACACCACAATTTTGGACGTGGAAAGACGAGAAAAAACAAGATTAACTTTGGAGAGTCTGCGAATACAGGAGAGGATAAGGGACGCGATGAACTTTAAAGAGGACGTTGACAATATAAACTGTGCGTACCGGACGGCAATACAAAGTAACAACTCAGATGGGCGAAGACAGTGACGTCAAAAAAAAAAGAAAAGTGTTTAGTTAAATGTTTTGCGTTTATTGTAATGTAAATAGTTACACTAATTTAATATGTAAGTGCTATTGTGATAAAAAAGATATGTATATGTATATGTATGTATAATTTCCAGTCATATGTAACTATCAGCCCTGTTCTGCATTTCGACTCATTTTGAAAAGTAAAACGATACACATTCCGACTATCTTTTGTGGTGGTGTTCTCAATTCCGAGTGAGATCGAACAAGTTCGAAATCGTTTTCGAATCGTTTTCATTTCGATTCAGTAATAAAATGGAACAGCTGTTGTCAGTTATTTGTGTAAAATTAATTTAAATCTAAATAAAATTGATAAAATGCCAGCGCCAATGATTTTTGGGTGTGCCGAGGCAAGAAGGCGTGTTATTAAACGCTTAAAACAAAAAAATCGTCAGCTAAGGATGCATGTGGACATATTTCAAAAGTTGGATTCCAAGCAAGTTTACCCTTCAATGCAATTTTCTTTGTCTAACTTGATATGTACATACTTTTTAGGTTTATAGAGTCTTATCGCGTAAACAAAGAAGTTTTCAAAATGCTATTAGATAAAATAGGAAATAGGTTAGCGGAAAGGCATCGCTTTATTACACCGACTACGCAACTGGCAGCCACACTTCGGTTTTTAGCAACTGGCTCCTATCAGTTGGGGATTTCTAAAGACCAAGATATCAACATAGGCAGAAGCACCTTTTCCAAGGTATTGCACTTTGTTGTACAGGAGCTGGAGAGCTGCCTTTGTGAAGAATTCATTCAGCTGAAGATGTCGCCCGCGGATATGAACTCATCAAAAGGACATTTTTATAGGGAATTCAATATTCCCGGTGTCATTGGGTGTGTGGATGGAACACACATAAAAGTGTCAAAACCAAGAGATGACGAGTCTATGTTCTTTAATAGGAAGGGATATTTTAGCATAAATGCAATGGTGGTAAGCTGTTAAATAATAAACAATTTTCTTTGTAATAAAAACACGTACATATTTATAATATTAACAGATTTGTAATTACAATATGGAAATAATGGCAGTAGATGCGAGCCACCCGGGTTCATGTCATGATTCATTTATTTGGAATCAGAGTTATGCAAGGCAATTTTATAGCAACAATCGCGCTCAAAATACTTGGATTTTGGCAGATTCCGGCTATGCCTTGGAAACCTTCATAATGACGCCATATAGGAACCCACAGCATGGATCAATAGAACATGCTTTTAACAAGAGACATGCCTCTGCTCGCAACATAATTGAGCGTACAATCGGTTTATTAAAAAGCCGATTCCGATGTTTACAAGGAACTCTTCAATACGAACCAAAGTTTGTTACTCAGCTAATTAACGTTTGCTGTGCGCTACACAACATTTGCCGCAGGCGTAACATACA